ACATGAATCAAATATGGGCGGCTCTGATACCAATTGTTGGAAAAACAATAATAATAATAATAATAATCCTGATTTTGATTCTAACAATCAAACATAAACATAATCCCATACTGATAAACATGCTGTAAACTGAATGCGAAAGCGTACCTGAATTAGCCATAACGATGATGTCTTTGTAGAGCACTATATTGATCTTATAGTCTTCCACCTGAAGAGCACCTGTATTTCCCTCTTGATTTTCTCTCTTGATGGGGATAGAAAGAAAGGAACGAGACTGATACTTACGTTCTGTGTGTGTGCTCTCAGAAGGGGACCATGACCCTTTAGATAACCAGAATTAGGTTAATTACTTAAGTTTTAGTATTTCCAATTTGGCCCCTCATCAAATTAGAAATTGCTCTATGGTCTCTACACAATTTTATTTTCATGACATATGCCTTTAGCCAAAACTTTAATTTAGTCAGATCACTTTATTATTTGGCTTAATAAATAATGGTCCTAACACATTTAAATTATGTATCATATATATACATGACCCAAATTTTTCCAACAATTGTTTCTTTCTATGACTAATACGTTTTTCACGAAACTTAGACTCTATATCAATTTCAAAAGCAATTTCCTTAGCAGAAATCAATGCATTTTCAAATCCATTTTCTCTATACGTTGCAAAAAATGAAAGGAGACATTTTAATTGTTCAATAGCTTCATCAATGCACATATATTTTAATTGTAAATTTTTACTAACTGACTTAACTACAAATAAAATGTCATACCAAATACTCATGCCTAACAAAAATTTAAAATTTTCTAATTCATAAGTTGCTAAACAATCAGCTTCACTTTTTATTTTAGGATCATCACTAGTTTCAACTAATTCAAATAAAGCATCTCTTATTTGTGAAGTTTGAAATCTTACCGCTTTCACGCTTTCAATACGACTTTCCCAACATGTTTGTGACAACGATTTAAGAGTTAAGCTATGTATATAGTCTTGTAAAATTTTTCACCTTTTCATAGAAGAAGAAAATAAAGTATATATACCTTGTAACACACCAAAAAAAGATGTAGTTTTAGGACAAGAGTTAGCCATATCACAAAGTACTAAGTTTAAACTATGACAACCATATGGAGTATAAAATGCTCTAAGATTAATATCAAGAAATCTTTTTTGCACACCCTGATGTTTTTCTTTCATATTAGATCCATTATCATATCCTTATCCTCTAAGGTTGTTAATATCAAGTCCAACAATTTTTAATTCATCTATAATAGCATCAAAAATACCTTTTCTACTTGTATCATCTACTTTTAAAAATTCTAAAAAATACTCATTAATTTGTATTGGAGTTGATGAAATATCCACACACCGTAATACAAAAGAAATTTGCTCTTGATGACTTATATTAGGAGTACAGTCAAGTATGATTGAATAATATTTTGCATCCCTAACTTTTTTTTATAATTTTTGTTTTGATTTCACTTGCTAACAAATTTATCAACTCATTTTGTGTGTTATGCCCAAGGTAATGGTTATGAATTTCATCATCTTTAATTCGACGAATATGTTCTTGCATGATTGGATCAAATTCTGCAATCATTTCAATTAGACTTAAAAAAATTTCATTAACTTCTTGATGTATCTTTTCATTGTTTCCACGAAAGGCTAAGTTATTTTTACCAAGAGTTTTTAACAATTGCAATAATTCTTAGCAATACCTTTCACTAGTGTTCTTTATCTCTATTTATTTGATCTTGAACATATTTGTCTATTGTTTTATTTTTTGTCAATCTCATTTCCAAATCAATCCATGCATTCATGTTAGTAATATGCTCATTCGTTATTTCATGACTCTTCAGATTGGCACTAAGATTTCTCCAATCCCAACTACCTTCGTTCACTAGTTTACTTGTACAAAAAACAATATTAAATAATTTGCAACAAAAACAAAAGACTTTATCCAAATCTCTAGAATAAATTAGTCATCTTCTTTCGTGTTTCTCTCCATTAGACAATATTTGAATATAATTTGATAAAGAAAAGTGCCTAGAATATTTATCCTTTGGAAAATCTATATAAGTGATTTTAATAGGGCCCTTTTCTACTAATAAATCTCTCAAATTTGTATCAATATTCTTCCATTGGCCTGGATCATATATATTTTCATCAATAGTAGAATTATCATCTAGTATCTCAATCTCCTCCTCGCTCTATCATGGGTTTGAGAATCAGAATTATCGTCATTATTAAGTACTCTCTCTATTGTTTCTTTCACCTATGTCTATATTGTTATTATCTTGTTCATTCAAAGAGTACCCACTTGTATTTTTTAATTCATTTTTCTTATCTATTTTTATAAATTTATCCATAGCTTGATGAAATTAAAGTCTCAACTCTTATATTCTTTTGGAGTTTTGAATAGTCTCGATTCATATTTTCTAGTTGACATATCTATATATTTTTATATGAAATAAAAAATTATAATATATAAAACACTACTAAAGATAAGTATATAAAAAAGAATGAGTCAAAACAATAATACTTGGTTTTGGTTGTGAGTTGTCAAGAAAATAAACGATAAACGAAACTGTAAAGGTGCAAACGATAAACGATAAATTGAAATAGACACTATCAGAGTATACTAATGTATAACAAGTTTTAAATTTTAGATTTTTACCTTATATGATGCACAGTCGCACTACAAAGAAAGAAATGACAAATGTCTCCTTGCTTGAGTTGTGTTGCCTCTTTCTACCCCTTGAAATCAGTGAAATCGAAACACACACAAGAAAAACACCAACAACCAACACAAGTACACAACATATAAAAGATGACTCGAGATGAAAAATTAAAAATATTGAGTTATTAACTAATGTGTTATGTATATGTATCAAACACTCAAACTGAGTAGTCCGGAAAGTAAAGAGAATGAATAGATGAGAACTAAAAAGTCACATAGAGAGAGAAAAGAAGATAAAAATTAAAATTAATTAGTAAAAGAATAGAGATAAAAAAGAAAAACTTTTGGACTTCTTTAACTATTAATATTAACTAACAAATTTTTTTTCTTAAAAAAAATTATGATTTATTAAAAAAAATTATTAGAAATAATATTAGTATTAAAAAAAATTTGGGAGGCATTTTTTTAGGGGGCTAAAGCAAGGGCTTTAGCTGCTTGGGTCTTGAGCCGACCCTGGTTAGATTTGATGCAGGTGTGCATTGAAAAAAAAAATTCTTGGAATGGTTTAATTCCAAGTGGGTATACTCTTTATGGTGGAGTATGAATGATTGATAATATAAGCAATGGAGATAAAAAGGAACGTGTTTATTTTAATAATGGTGGAGAATATTGGGTTGATGAAAATAATACATCTTAAAAAGTTCTACATCACCTAAGATAAGCAATAGGGTAGGTGATAATAACTATATAATGGACTTAAAGTCCATGATTTTTTAACACCCTAGTCAAAAAACACTTTAAGCGTATATTTGACATTTCCTATACTCTTGTATTAGAGTATTATCAGATTTGGTTTAAATTCTTGTTTTGGAGAGTGTGAGTGTATTTGGCGTTAAAGGGCATGGAAGAATAGTCTATATGTTGTAAAAAATTTTACATAGTGTTATTCTCTAGTTGTCATTAGATAATGGTTATGGTTTTTCTTTAGTTTTGGAGTTTTCATATTATATTCTTGTGTTGATTGCTTCTAAGCAATTCTCTAGGATAAAAATGTTGATGTTCTTCATGAATTTTTAATATGCTATGTGGTTGCAACTTGATATGATCTTTCACACCAAATAAGATTAATTTCTTGTTAGAAAATCATCCTTGGTTGTTGAAGTTGCAATGTGATTTGTAAATGTTGTCAAATGTGAGAGAGAAATTTGATAGAATGATCAATTTTGGTTTGTGGCAAACTCAAGTCAAAGATGTGTTGATACAATCTAGATTAACATGGAAAAGAATGAGTCTTTACTAGCGGTAATTGTGCACGAATATTGATTAATATTTATGCAGGGTGTGTGATGATTATACACGAGCATTGATACAGATGTGTAGTGAAAGGAAATTCTTGGAATAATTTAATTTCAAGTGAATATACTTTTTATAGTGGAGTATAAATGATTGTTGGTGTAGGCAATAAAAATAAAAAAGAATGTGTGTTTATTTTAATCATGATGGAGATTATTGGATTGATAAAAATAATACATCTTGAAAAGTATCACATCACCTATATAAGCAATGAAGTGAGTGATAGTAACTATATAATTGACTTAAATTTATTACCCAGTAAAATATATTTTAAGCTTTTATTTGACTTTTTTTATACTTTTGTAGAAGAGTATTGTGAGATTTTGTTTAAATTATTGTTTCAGAAGATGTGAGTGTATTTGAGATTAAAAGACATGAAAAAATATTCTATGTTATAAAAACTTTCATATAACATTATTTTTTCAATGCTTAAAAAACATGGAAGAGTAAATAACGATTGTAATTTTTCTCTAATTTTAGAATTTTTATTTGTGTTGATTATTTTTATCTTATTTCTTTATTAGAAGGATAATTATCGGAGAAAAATATTTTGAGTAACTCTTTTTTCCATCAAAACTTCTATATCTTTATAATTGATTTTGGAAAAAAAAAATCATCATAAACAACATACATACTTGTGTTTCTTTCATGTTTTCACATTAAGATATATTGCTCAATGCTTCGTTCCATTTGTATATGGAAATCTGATAATCTCTTCCGTGATAAAAATATCCCAATGGAGACTTTATTATATTATATATCAAAATTTATTGTCTGCAACTTACCGACACTCCCAAAAAGAGAAAGAAGTGTTTGCACTTTTCTCAAAATGAATATAAGCAAGAAATGTTCTACTAAAATTATAGAATATGAATTATTATTTTTCATAAATTCAGTGCCACTTTGGCAAAAGTTTAAATAAGAAGAGCATGGTCTTTATCTTTGTCCCCGGAGGAAAGATCCAATTTAGACCATTTGGCACGCCTTGTGAAAAGGAAGAGAGTCACGGTCTGACAAAGCAGCCCACAAATCAAACCAATCCATAATCCCTATATCATAAAGTAAATTCATAACAAAATATATTAGTAAAACTAGTGAATGCAAACTGTTTCTCATAATCAAGATGATTCGTCAGACATAACCAAAATGTGCCTTAAATATTTTATTTACCTTAAACTGCAAATTGGTCTTAAACGCTAGGAGACATGAAATTGGCAAACCAATAAGATAAAAAGTTGCAAGGTTAATGTAAACAGCCAAGTGCTGCCAGCCACATCCTCTGGCCACCCCTGCAGAATAAACACAATTTACCTTTAAGAATTTTTAGTTAATGTTCAAGGAGCAATGATAGCAGCTTAAAAGTAATGGGGAATTCAAACCTGACAAGACACCTTGGATTGCATCTAGTAATATGGAAATGGCAAGCAAAGGTGTTACTGATGCAAACTCCTCTTTAATTGTAGAACTATCACTGAAAAACTGAATCCAGGTATTATGACCAAAGCCAAGTGCCAAGACAAAACAGAAACCGAGTAGGAGAGAGAGCTTGAGAGTGACATTCATCGCATGTTTAGCTCGTTCAGGGTTGCCTGCTCCCAATTCATTGGATACCCTTGTGCTATTCAAGTTAAATATCAGGTTTTTAATACATGAATTGGAGAAGATGTGATGCAATGCAAGTAAAAGCAAGCAATGTGTTCAACCAACTAACCTTGCAGCTGCACCGAGACCATAAGTGATCATGTAGGCAATGAATTCTGTATTTGTACTATAGAAATTTTGAAGATTAACAATATTAAATTACACGAACCTCTCTATTTAATTAGGAGCAATAATATAATGCTATTAGAACCTTACCATATTGCAATCAAAGAAGTTGTTATGTGTGGGTTAGGCAAAAGTCCAGCTAAGAAAACCAGAACTTCAAAAGCCCAATACTCCAAACTTGCATTACAAAGACAACAGATAGTAATAAGGATCTTATATTCATACTTTAAATTAGAAAAATATTCTCTTAATGTGAATATCAGCAATTGTTTAATCTATAAGCTGTAGTGTAAGTTTAGCCAATGAAGCTACTGCTCCTCATTGAGCTTTGAGATCAATAGTTAAAAGGGCAACAGAAGTTGAAGGGTTGTTAGTGATTCATACCAAACCATTCCTGCAGAGGGCAGAGCTAGTTTCATATTTGTAAGTAGGTAATGGAATGAATGCATTGAAAATCCTTGCCATGTCTGCTTGAACCTCTTAGCATACATTACATACAAGGCTGGTAATATCATTGATATCCATAGTGAAATAGAAGCTGCAACTGGAGCACCCGTAAAACTAAGACCTGACCCCTGAACCAAAGCATATGCAATGCCAATATGAACCAACAATGGAAGAGCTGAGAGTACAACCAATGGCATTACCACAGATTGTGTCTGAAGAAACCTCAAGATGTTTTGCAAGAAGCCATATGCAAACAATCCCGGGATAAGAAAGTTCATATAAAGAGCAGCGGTTCTTGCAATGTCATGAGATTGATGAAGCAACACTAGGATGGGTTCTGTATAGAACCAAATAATGGATACAATGATGGAAACAATAAAAGATATGATGCATGAGGCTTGTAGGTAAATTCCTAACACATGGTATTCCTTTGCACCAAATCCTTGCCCGCACAATGTTTCCAGTGCCCCACTCAAACCAACCTAGTACAAGAATAAGGACATGAGCAGGAGTTAAATCTAGTAACTTTTAGAAATAATAATTTAAAAATAAAGTGTTACTAGATGAAGGGATGCAAGTTACTAATCAAAAAAATTATTCTTGTTTATACAGTACTATTACATGACCCTGGAGCATGTAAAGGGGATCTAGCTTCATTGTATGATAAAGCAATCCAATCTTCTCTGATTTCTATTGCCTTCTCAATATTTTAATCTCAATCAGAAAGTAATTCCATGAGCTTTCAGAAAGAGCTATGATTATATATATATATATATATATATATATATATATATATATATATATATATATATATATATATATATATATATATATATATATATATATATATATATATATAATATGATTATCTTGATTTTGGAACTAATAATAAAATTTTAAAAATATAAATATTTTATTTATTTATTATATATTAGTGATTAGGTTTAATATTTATTAAAAAATATTAAATAAAAGACTAAAATTTTAAATATGTAAACAAATATATTTAACAATTATTAAATTAGAAACTAAAATAATATATATCCATGGTTACAAAATTTTTGGGGTTCATGGCCCCTTTTTACCTGTGTGAAACTTGTAAATATTTATGTACAATTCTATTATTCTTAGACATGGTGAAAAAGTATACTAAAAAAACCCACAAAGACAAAGTTAAAACTTTTTGTACTGCTGAATATGAGTTGTGAAACATTAATAGCAATCGGTTAATTAGGTCTTCAAACATTTTTCCGGTTTGTAAGAACAGTAGCAGGGCAATTACTGGTGATATTGAAAAGTTTGTCATATAATACATTTTATCTATCATATAAACAGGGCATGGATTAAGAAGCTGTGCAAAAATACAATATTTTTGTTGAAAAAGGTTGATAACAGAAAAACAATTTATCATATTACAAACTTTATCTTCTGAACTTCAATCTGCACACTGAAGAAAGGAAAAGCAAAGAGGGGGGGAAAGGAATGAATTACCATAACAGCCACGCCAGTGCCAGTGAACCATGAGTTTGCAAGAGTAGCACTGGCAAGCTGAAGTTCTCCAAGGTGACCAACAAGCATGACAGAAACCAAAGTGATTAAGTAATAGAACAAGTTGGTAAGAATCATTGGAAGTGAAAACAAGAGTTGGTGCTTGGCCTCTTCCATGTCCAACACTTTGTTCCACCATCCCATGATTTGGATTCTTGTGTTTTCTCTTCCATTGTCAGATTCTCCCAATAGAGGTGTTGTTGTTGTGCCATCTGAACTGGTAATTGCCGCCATCGTCTCTACCTCCTCTATCGTCTGCTATTCGTTAACCTTTTTCAATAACACTTGTTCACTGACACCTCCTCTATCGCCTGCTATACGTTAACCTTATTGTTGGGTATTTTCCGGGACACTTACTGATATCTCCTCTACCGTCTGCTATAAGTTAACCTTATTGTTGGGTATTTTCGAGAATACTTATTAGTATAATACCTCCTCTATCGTCCGCCATAAATTAACCTAATGGTTCGACCGAGAACATTTATTGACTGATATATAGGTGTTGCCACGTGTCACATTAGTGTTGGTCAAAAAAGTTTATTATGCATAAAAAGAAATACTACTTTAATTTTAATTAATTCAAAATTATTAATATATGTAATTATTGATCTCAAAAGTTTCATGATGATATCTAACTCGAGTTTATTAAAAAAAATTATATTTATATATATATATATATATATATATATATATATATATATATATATATATATATATATATATATATATATATATATATATATATATATATATTTTATATATCCATGCACAAAGCAAGCTTTGTTTTTCATACTCTTCCTTCTTTTATTCTCCTAATATACATGTATTCATTCAAATACTAGTCATTTCTCCATATACACATCCTTTCTTCTTTCCATCATCCATTCCAAATTGGGAACTATAATTTGGTGCATTAGATCCGCATCAGAACACACCTACAAAACCTTGAACACAATAATAACACATAGCTTGTTGAGATTTAGGTTTAATATTTTTATATTCTTTACCTTCAAACAATTATCAAAAGCTGATATGAGAGATAAATGATGCGGTAAGTTTCTTAGATTAAATATTTTTTGTTTAACCAGGAATACTGTCACAAAGAGAAAGTTTTGCTCTTAGTAGTTTGGATTGGTAGAAAATTAACAATTATCATTCTAATTTTGATTTTAACGATAAAACATAAACATTATCTCATACACGTAATATGTTGTAGATTGATTGCGAAAGTGTACCTAAATTAGTCATAATAATGATGTCCTTTTTAGAGTATTATTAATCTTATGGTCTTTCATTTAAAAAATACATTTATTTTTCCTTTAGATTTTCTCTTTTGATGGGGATAGAAAGAAAGGAATGAGAACTGAGACTTATGTTCTGTGTGTATGCTTTCAGAAGGGGACCATAACCCTTTAAATAATCAAAATTAGATTAATTATTTAAGTTTTAGTATTTCTAATTTGGTCCTTCATCAAATTAGAAATTACTCTATGGTCTCTACACAATTTTATTTTCATGACATATGTTTTTAGCCTAAATTTTAATTTAGTCAGATCACTTTATTATTTTGCTTAATAAATAATGGTCCTAATACATTTAAATTATGTATCATATATATACATGACCCAAAATTTATCAATAATCTCTTATTGGTCACAAATATATATGTCCTTACAACCTTACAAATGTGTTAGACTTTATGAGTTCAAAATTATTATTATTATATTCCTTTAGCATACTCCAAAAGTTTCGTCCATTGATCATATTAGGATATAGAACCAAACCAGTTTTTCATTGCATCATCGCAAATAAAACCAACAATGATTACTAATCCTGACATAACCAAATGACATGGATTCATCATGAAAGGTGTAACATGAAAAATTATGTGAAGGTGATCTGTACACGCCTATTTTTAACTAGTCCAAACTTTAACTTATTGAGATCGATATAATAACCTTAATATACAAAGTGTAATGAATGAACGAAAAACTGCATATCCATAGATAACCAAATATGTCCAAAAAATTAATATATACATACATGAAATTAAACATAGAACATAAAATATATAAAAATTATTAGAAAAGAAGGCTCGAGATCAAGAGGGGGGTGAATTGATCTTTGAAAGATTTTCACAATTTACAAATTATCTATTTCAAAAATTAAGAGTTTTGACCAATTCTTGAATCAAACAAAACAAATAATTGAAATAAAGGCAGCAACATAATTAAAGAGAGTAAGGTTTAGAGAAATATAACCAAGATTTATACTGGTTCACCCAATCCCAGGACTACGTCCAGTTCTCAGCCAAATTCCAGCTGAGTTCCACTAGATTGAATGTTTTACAGATTACAGATTCCAATCACACACTCAATCCACCACAAGAACCAAAATTTCAGTCCTTGCACCTAAACTTTCACCAAGAACCAACTTCCAGTTCTTGAACCAACCTGCAGCCAAATTCCAGCTATAGAACCAGTGCTCAACAATTCCAAACACCCAACATACAGTAAAGAAATGTAAAGAAACAAAGAGAAGAAACAAGAACAATCAAACCCGGATTATGCAACTCTGCAGAATGAGTTTCTTCACAAAAGGAATGCAAAAATTGCCTCAAGAAAGAACTTTGAAAAACTCCACAAAATTTGTGTGATTCTTTCTTGAAAATAGCTCTTATAATTGCTTGATTGATTGCTCAAAAGTATATTTTAAAAGACTCAAGCAATCCTGTTTATATAGAGATTTGTTATAACTGCTGGTTTAATTAATCTGTTAAAACAATCTTTTAATCTATTAAAAGTCTTGAATTAATCTGTTAAAATGTTCTTGATCAATTTCCAAATTTATTTTAACTGATGCGACATCGTTTCAATCGATTAAAACACTTTGTAAAAAATCTTTAAGTTGTTTTAATCGATTAATTCACAATTTAATCGATTAAAATTCTGCCAAATATTTTCATAAAACTTCCTAAGTGATTTTAACTAATAACAGCCAGTTTTAATCGATTAAAACAGTTAGCAGAAATTCTCTTAAATTGTTTTAATCGATTAATTCGACTTTACATCGATTAAAATTCTGACAGAACACCTTTCAAAATATTTCAAGTTGTTTTAATCGATTGTTTCGAGTTTGTATCGATTAAAATATTGCCAGAACATTTTCCAAAATATTTTAAGTGATTTTAATCGATTATTTTGAAACTATATAAGTTAAAATACTGGAAGAAGGTTTTCAAAAACTCCTTTAATGAAAATAATCGATTAATTTGAAAGTGTATCGATTAAAACAGTTCCAGTGAATGTTTTAAAAGGTTTTAATCGATTATTTCGAAAACCTATCAGTTAAAAATCTGTTATGTAAGTTTTAAGAACATTTTAATTGATAAAGCTCATATAATATCAATTAAAACAATTTGCTAAAAATAATTTTAACCGATTACTTTGGTATTTAATGGATTAAAAATCTTTAGAGGCATTTTCAAATTCTTTTAAATGATGAAACCTCATGCAGCAGAGAGATATGAATGATACCTATATATAAATGCAGACTCACTAATCATTCTACCCTTTTAACCAAGTGTCACCGCCGTCAAAACGAGGCGGTCGGAGCGACGTGATGGTTTTTTTTTCGACCCTCTTGCTTTCGCATTTTTTATGGGTGGTTACAACGTCCTTAGGTTGTCCGATAACCGGGCTAACCTAGAGACGAGGTTTTTGAAAAGTGTTCTTGGGTTGTCCGATAACCGGGCTAACCCAAGAACGGGTTTTGAAGGGTTCGTGGAGTCGCCACCGATGTTTTTACCGGAAACATCGGAAAAGGAGTTTAAAAAAGGCGTTGGTTTTCGAAAACCAACTTTGGTCATTAGAACCAGAGTTGGGTAAGGGAGTTAGTTACGTGTAAAAGAAGTGTTAGTTCCTTTACGACGCCCCTTTCGGGTTCCCTATGATAGGCCGGCTATTTTGGATAAATAATTAAACTGGAAAATTGCGCTTTTACCCTTTTATTATGTGGTATTTAAAGATTATGACTACATGGCCCTAACGTCTATTGCATAATTTTAAATGAAAGCGGTAAAATTAGAAAGAGAGAGAGTGCACCTCCAAAGCAAGCTTTTTGTATTTCCCTTTAAAGAGTGGGTGCTTTTTGGCAACCCTTCACTCTACAAACTCTCAGAAACTCTGGAAATGCCTCGGAGGGATTCTAAAGAAGATTTAGAATGCTCAAAATTCTCCTAAAGACACTCAGAAACTCCGGAAATGCTTCGGAGGGATTCTAGAGAGAGAAAATCTAGAGAGAAGGAGGAGGAACTATGTGTTTCTGTGTGGAAATGAGGGGGGGAGCGCCCCTATTTATAGTTTTTCGCGCCTGACAGGTCGAGACCGCCGTTTCGTCTGACAGGGTCGAGACCGTCGTCTGGACAATCCAGACCACCGTCTCGATCATGGCAGGGGGTCGAGACCGCCGTCTGGATAATCCAGACCGCCATCTCGACTAGGCAGAAGTCGAGACCGCCGTCTGGATAATCCAGACGGCGGTCTCGTCCCTGGCGTGAGGCGAGAAGGCGGTCTGGTCCTTCCAGACGGCGGTCTCGTCCCTTCAGGGTGAGAAACTTTATTTTTCGGGCCAGAAAAAACCTCCTATCTTAGTACGGGGGCCTAATAGTCTCTCCTAGTGGCTTGTTAGGCTTCGGCCGTCTTCAAATAGGGGGTCTTCTGACTTTATTTGGAGGCCGGGCAAGATTTGGGGTCTACAGCTGCCCCCCCCTTTACCTGACTAGTCGGCTGTTGGCTTGTTGTGCCAGACAGGTAGACAGGAAGGTAAAGGAGTTGACCCTCTTGCCCGGCCACCCTTCGGACATCCCGTCTTGTGGCAGATGATCCTCTGGGGAGATGTTGTATTTATGCACCTCCGGGATACTACTCCTGACATAGCCGATCCCTTTGGTTGACACGTGGTAGAACCTCCGGATACTACTCCTGACGTAGCCGATCCTTCGGTTGATGGGTATAAACCCCCCATCAGGCTGGTAGTTACAGTCCGTTGTGTGGGACTGGATGGGTATGAACCCCCCATCAGGCTGGTACGGTCCGTTGTGTGGGACCGGATGGGTATGAACCCCCCATCAGGGTGGTAGTGGCGGCTTACTGTTCAGGTGGCCCATGCGCCGTTTAACTGGGGAGTGATTTCCGTGTTGGTAGATGTTCTTGGACTTGATGGTCGTCCGGGCT